CTCACCACCCTCTCTGGGAAGAACTTACTCCTGATACCTAATCTAAGTCTCCCTGCTTTCAATTTAAACCCATTACCCCTTGTCCTGTCGCTGCAGACCCTTGTAAAAAAGTCCCCTCCCAGCTTCCGTGTAGGCCCCAAGGACGCTTTAAGCAGGAAGGCCTACAAGTTAACAAAGTATGATATCTAGCCTCAGACTATGTAGGCAAATCCCACTGAAAACACAATGAAAGACACAGGTTTCCTTAGACAGAACTAGCATAAAAATTAGGGTTTTTTCAAAATCCACCCAAAACTTATTAAAAGCAGAAGTAATAGAAGGAACACACACGTGCTGCCCACACTTTCTTTAATTACAAGAGTTGATTTTCCAAATTTATTCCAGTAATGGAGTGGGATAGTTCAAGTAATAAAATATAGTTGGTAGTTTGTTAAAAACCAAGTGTAGATTTTAAAATCTGAAAAATACCATATCTTATACTCCTATTGTGACCAATTTCAAAAGATTTCAGTTGTGCTACTTTGGCCTTGTGGAAGTCAGAAGTTTTGCCAATTGTATTTTTCATTCAACTTCTTCCACCTTGCCAAAAGTAAACAATTTTACACCATTATAACATTAGCCCAAGGTGTTGTAATGAGTATTTCATAAGCAAATTGTAAAATTCAAAGCAAGATATGCACTTCCTGGAAGCTTACCAAACTTTTTTCCTTCTCTGGTTGTGCCAGTCATCTTGATCTTGGCAACTTCAAAGAAATCTTTTATTTCCCTTTCATATAGTCGTGATAAATAATCCATATAATTCTTAAAAGAAAAATGTAAAGTTAGCTAACAGGCTTACACGTTGTCTTTGTTCTATTACAGATAAATAAATCTTAAAAACCAGCAAGTATCTAAGTTCTACTATAACAAAAAATGGTTTGGTCTATATATGTATACAACTATTTATGTAGCATGCACAAAAATGTATTCATGTGATTTAAGCAGGTTATATCAATTTTCCTAGTGAGTTTACTAAGCATCAGAAACTGCTACTTCTCCTCCATAGGGAAGGAAAGATATGCAATGGAGTAGATAAAAATAGGATTACTGGTGGCAGAACACCACAGAATTCTATTCAAGTCTGGAATGGAGAGAATTCAGCACCATTCTCTCCAGCCTTATTTACTAGAGTCTTACTATGCCCTAAAAAAGGCAAATAGGATGCAATTCCTACACATCTTCCTGAGTATGTTACCTCCTTTATTACTATTCCCACAAGGAAAAGAAAACACCAGAAAATAGGATTACTGGTGGCAGAACACCACAGAATTCTATTCAAGTCTGGAATGGAGAGAATTCAGCACCATTCTCTCCAGCCTTATTTACTAGAGTCTTACTATGCCCTAAAAAAGGCAAATAGGATGCAATTCCTACACATCTTCCTGAGTATGTTACCTCCTTTATTACTATTCCCACAAGGAAAAGAAAACACCAGAAAACTTTGGGAGGCACAGACTCTCTGCACCTACTTACTACAAGATTCAACCAATTCCAAAATCGCTTGCAACACTGCCAAAAATAAGCTCACATTTTAAAAAGACAAGGGGCACAACAACTGAAGTTAAGTTTTAAGATTATCTGGTTTGTTTAGGTTTTTAGTACAAAGGTTATTATAGAGTTTTATTTATCAAAGATCATCCAAGTATTTTTCCTATTTTCTTCAAAATTTTGTTACTTAGAAGACGTAATACATAAATATGTAAGCCTATTGATTTTTTTATTACAAAATCACTAAGATATCAACCATTCATTGACCATTTGCCTTACACTGAAGGCAAAACCCCAACTTTTTCAAAGCCATTTTAAGAGTCTAATTTAAATATTTCCCAGTACTTTAATAAAAGAAGACTTGTACTGTAAGGACTAACTTTCCCTTGATTTCTATCCAACCAATTTCTATAATTCTGTAGGAATTTTTTTCACTCCACATCCGTTTCAAACATGACAGTTAAAAGTTATGTAAATACAAAGTCAAAATATTTCTAGTTAATCTACAAGAGACCTCAAATTGTTGACATTTCCAAGTGAAATTGAAGGTCTGTTGAAATAAAGATGTCACACAGGCAACATGCACAACAACATGGAAATAGCTGAGTTGTTTCTTAAAAGACTGTAAAATGGCAAACTTGTTTTACATAAATAAGATTACTATGTTACAATACTTTAGAACATAGAATTTTGGAGGGAACAAAACAAAGGACAGGATACAACTAATACCAAAAAATGAAGTCTCCTATTCCAAAGAGAAATAAGAACAGAGGAGCAGTGAATTACAGTTAATATAAAGAAATATTAAAAGGACATGCAGATGCACACAGGCAATTCTTTTGACTCTAAAAGAGTGGATTATGTACATTCCCTAGCATCATTTGAGCACTTCACGTACCTTTGTTAGCCCTTCGTATTTTCCATAGTCTGTGTTCTTGAGCCACTCCATCAGTTTAGCATAGCGAAGTAAATCTCTGTGAAACGGATGGTGATTGGGTAATGTCAATTCAACAGAGTGCTGGGCAAGAGTAGAGCTCTGATCGTGGCCCTGGAGAAGAGAAAATACTACAGTAAATCTGGAAGTACTGTAAAGATGTACTAGAAGTTTCCTGAAAAACTTAAAATACAGACAACATCCCATTCAGACAAACAGAAAAGCATCAAAATATCTTGCATAGAAACAAAATCTAGAGCTGCAGATTGGAAAAAAGCCTAACATAATATGGACACGGAGATACTACAGCTGTGGCAGGTAATGCATCCCAGTAAGCGTGTTCATCACAAGGCTCTTGCTTTTTACCACTTTGCCTTCAGGGTGAGTCAATTTGGCATTTTTTACAAGACCATGCAAGGTACGCCGGAGTGAAGATGTAATTAAAAGTGTTCAACCTCTTAGAATTTTTCAGAAATGGTTATTAAATTATTTCTCTAAACAAACAAAAATCATCTGTAGCTGCTTCTTTCTGAAGATGTTGTTCCCATATACAATGGGACATTTCAGTCAACTGCCTAGGTGTCAATTATGATCTTGGTGCTACGCCGCTGAAAATCTGCTCCAATTCAACCCACTTTAGTCCACTTTGACCAAGCTTTGGTCAAGTCTTAAAAACATCAGTCCACACATGTCCTCTCTCCCTCTACACACATGCAGACATAAAAAGACCTTTCCATAAGTATTTACAAGAGTCAAACTGTTTACGACATACAGCATAAACCAGCCCATTTAACAGCAAGCTACCAACTTCACGCTCCTCCTTCTCTCTGGCTCATCTCCTGAAAAACACACTATGCTTTAAGTGAAGATCACGTCATATTGCTTGAACAACATGTCATTTAGTTTTAAGCTTTCTCATGCTTCAATTCACAAGTTTCCTGGGCAATTCACAAAGCAAGGTAACACCACAGTTCAGCCATGTAGCAGAACACGCAACTGTTAGCCTTGGGTTAACAGAGGGGACGACGGAACTTAATTTCAAAATGGCTTAAATATTTTCTGTCAAGTCTTTTTTTACAGGGCTTGCAATAAATACAGCAACAGGACAGTTTAAAACTGCCTTTACATGTCTAAGTTGGAACAGAAGCCAGCATAGGATGACAGAATCAAAACTAAAGCAACTTTGGCTCACCCTTCTCTATTGTATTGGGTATCGACCAACTCAAGTCTTCGAATAAAGAAAGCCCTAAAAGCTTCCACAATACATGCACAGATCTTTGTTTAAAAAAAAAAAAAA